TTCTAAAAGCGTACCCCTAATTTTCAGAGGAATGTGCATTGGCACTTCAGTCATGCTTTGAGGCAACATGTCAGAATACACGGTTATTAATTGGACACACACGTACTTCAATTACATGTTATTAAAGCAGTACCACGGCACTCTTACTGTGCTCCAAAGTAGGAATTTCCTGAGGAGCTACAAACAGCTTTAACATGACTGCTTTTAATCATTTTATCTGTTGGTCGGTTTCTATCTCTTTGTATGCCTGGTGGCTAAACATACAAAATGTCCTATTAATCACGATCTGGGAACTACAACAATTTAAGACCTGTGTGAAAGTATGTACACAGCCTTTATTTGCTATGAAAAGTGGACAGATTTGAGAGTCTGTGTATGTGTCTATGTAGGACCGGATTACAGAAATACCAGGAGAAACATGGGCTCAAACTATGACTCAGGATGGAGAATAAGTGGCACCAATCATGAGGCATGGCAGGGAGATACAATTCTGCATTCAACATTTCCAGACGGTATGCTTCTCTGTTTCATACAACCATAACATTTCTGCTGGGCCACTGAGGCTGTTTCCGATGCATCAGCCCACATGAGTTATGTGTTTGGGCCAATGACAAGACACTAAATTACTCATTTGGGTCTGCAACAGGGAGGAGTGTAGCAAACCTTGCATATAAGGCAGCAAAACAAAAGCAAAACAAAACAACAAAACATTACCTCCACAAACAGATAATGCAATTATAACATAACTAAGCTACAAAGACAATGTTATCAGTGTTTGACTGAGTTTGTGTGGCAGAAAAATAAAACATCCCCCTAATGCAATGTATCATAATAACATCCAAACAATTATACTGACATAATTTACGATCAATCAAGTCCCAAAAGCAAATCATTAAGATTATTCATTTATTTATTTATTAAGTTATTATTTAATATAAAGTCAAGTAATAGACCATTAAAGAAACAAAGTGGAGCCCGCCATATGGCCTTGTGTCCTCTCTGCCCTCTACTCTGCAGCAGTCCAGTCAAGGGTTTATCCAAGTTTCAGACAGGCAAGTTCTAAGTACTAGACCTCCCTGTGATAGTCTGATTCCTAACCAGGATTAACAAGACTGAAGTCTGAAGCTCTGCTAGTGACCATGGGAGGCTAGAGTGTTCATTAAAACCCACAAAATTATTGGATGAGTCAACAGCACTCTAACAACATACTGAAGAAACACTAACAACATACTAATTTTGCTATTCTTAGAGCCCTATCAGTTCTGGGATACAACGTTAACTTTGTTGTCATGATGATGGTGCTATAGGGAATTCCATGGGTTCAGGATTTTCATTAGGAGCATAAAGATAGTCAGCAAATTTTATACAATCTAAAGACAAGACTGAGAAAATGTTGTGGTAGTCCGCCTGTTAAATTTTGATGTCATTTCTTGTGTGTAAGGGGACGTTTTGGCTTGATGCCAGCAGTAGAGGAAAGGTCAGAAGGTCAGTTAACACATTAGGATTAATCCTCTGAGAGACCAGGAATATGCACAGCAAACTGCCTGGTAATTAACCCATTGGTTTTTAGATAAGATGTCCCTTTGACTAAATGTGGTGCTAGTTGAAAGTCTTACCAAATCAATTATGGATTATGTCATGCCATATTTCATGGTAATCTGTGTTAGATTTGGATGGATGGACAGTGATACACTGTTCTTTTACAGATAGAAATGTGATTATTAAACTTCACTTTTGTATGGATGATTTCCTAGCCTCCTCCTTATAGCTCCTACAAAGTCCAACAGGAACAGCAATCCCATGCTGCACCAGTATGATTACCTTGAGGAGAGCTGAGTAAATCACACACAAGGGCAGGCTCTCGTGAGTACAGAAAAGCATACGGGAGATTTGCTACTTAAAATGACATCTCCCTAGCAATAATGTATACACACTGGGCACCACAACCGCAAATGCAGTAATCCCACTTGCAGTAAACTCAGGGAATTCATAGCAAATGATTATGTTAAGTACTATTAGAGCTCTGTAAGTTACAGAGGAAGAGGGTCTTTTACGGAAAAATCTTTCTGAAAGCATGTTTGAATTTTGCTAGGGAAATTGCCTTATGATTATCAGTTGGAGGCCACAGTTCACCAGCAGTTATATTTGGCGCAATCAGATTTTTAATCTGCTATATTGTGTCTAAAAGGGAAGGGGGTCACTAACACTAGCACAAACAGTTCAAGGCCTGCCACTCTCCCTTTCAACTAAAATGAAGTAAAGAGCACATGTCTTGTACCTTGTGTGTTATGCAGGGACAACCACGCTGGCCACAGCATGGGGCTTTAAAAAGCAGAGCTAACAAGGATTAGCATCCAATTTTAACACCTGACTGTAATCCTGCCCTCACACAGTCCATGCTAAGCCTGTGCTAGCCATGCTAATGGAAGGGAAGTGGTTTGCAGCCTGTTTTTTTCTTCACAACTGTTACCTAACAACTTGGCCCGTGACAAATGCGACCGATGACAAGACAGTATGGGGATCAATCAGTTCTGTTACTGTACAACTCTGATTTTGTTAAAAAAAAAAAAAAAAAGCTAGAAGTTTACTATTACTAAGGCAAAATATTTAAAAAGAGTAGTGCCTTTTAGACCAAACCACCATCTTATTTTACTGATCAAGACTGTGCAAGGACTAAGCTTTGCCTTCAACACAAACCGTATCACAAACCAGATACCAAAGGGAATACACAGAATCAGTCACTTTGGTTTGATCATTAACTATATGGATATTGTGTTGTCTGTTAGTATTTCCCCGAGAGATCCAATATTTAATCATCTATACCTGTGTAATAAGCATGAGCTTATTTGACATCACTGTGCATAAAGTGGCTGTTTGCTACAAACACAGCTCTGTCCTAAATCTGACGAGGGCAGAAATGGTGTATAATCTATCATGGTCATCATCTCAATTATAACTTACTGAGCAGTTTGTATGATGACATGTATGTGACAAACAGTGACGCTGTGATGATTGTTGTCAGTAGAACCTGCTCCAGACTGTCAGGCTGACTTGCTTGCCCTTTTCATAATACAGTAGCATGGGAGTGTAATACACCGCTATCAAACATTTAGAAGAAGCCATTATTGATGAATCAGCCACTTAAAATATCATTCATTCAATTTAGAGTTTGACATCACACAGACCTTTATTTTGCATGCATGGGCAGTTAACAATGGGAATGGACATGAAGACTGGTCTAAATCAGGGTAACCTACAAATAAGACTTTTGGAAAGTTCAACAGATTTACTGTACCATTTAGTCAGATAAGCCTTTTAATTCATTACACGGTTATAAGTCAGCTTTGAAAGCAGTTTTCATTGTATTATATGAGATAACTTCCTGTTTGGCATGTGGCTGATTTTTTTCTGTGTTATACTCAAGTGTTAACTTCTTTACCTATCAGCAAACCAAATTTCTCTCACAGTAACAAAGCCTGAGTGACTGAATCAATCTTTGATTGTTTTAATGGTCTACACTCCTCTACTAGCTGGATTGCTGAACTAGATTGTGGTCATGATATTGTTACTGCAAATTCTGTCAACATAACCGCACCACCATGACATCCTTACAGAAACATGCACCATGCTTCAAGCCGATAGGCTCAGCATTTGAAAAAAAGTGGTGACATGTATGGCTGAGAATTGCTAAAAACTGCCAACTATCTGAGAGCTCTAACTTTAAAATGAATACATAGGTTCCTGCCCACCTTTAAATGACCTGCCTATAACTATGAAACAACATTTTGTATTCTCTGGTATGGGATTGCTGTGAACAACATATAACTGGACAGCAGTAATGTAATTCCTTTTCAAAACACTCACAGACAGACACACGTATACACAAACACAACCAGAGGACAAGCTAATGAGATTCTTCCTTAGCAGCAGACACACTGGCATGCTCATTTACTAAACGCACCAGAATAAACAAGTTTCAATGACAACACCATCTAGCTTTTTTGGAACACAATCAAAAAATGACCTCATTTGATTATTATTTCATCGTTATTTCTCCCATGTTCACTGCCTCAAAAAAGAAACGTATCGTGGACTATGACAGCTTACATAATTCAAGGTTGATTTAGTAAATGTCAACATATCTAGGCTGTTCTGGTCAAACAAATGGCAAGTGGTCGTAAATATAGGATGCCTGAGCAATATAAAAGATAAGAAATAAAAGATATAATGTGAAACAGATGGATGGATGGATGGATGGATGCTTTCGTGTGCCAGCTGCAGAGCTGTAGGGATTCATCCTTCCATCACTGGCCTTCCCCCTGATGATGTCATCAATTAAAGGGACATGAAACTAAAACAACCATCAGTTATCTTTTTCCTCACTACACTCAACCCAACAGAGATGGATCAGTCCAACGCTGGGTGGGTACAAATGTACGCATGCATTCACCCGTACGCACATGCAAACCACACGCCAGTGCTGGGTAAAATGGCAATGTAGTGTGAGCAGATACACAGCAGAGTCATACGCTACTGTGAGTGTGTATGTGCGTGTGTGCATGTGTTTCAGAGTACACCATACAAAGAGAAATTATACAAGTGAGCCAGCTGGGCACATAAGCCCTCCTGCACAATAAATCCAAATAATCCTTTACGATGGGAAGCGGGAAATAGGGGGGTTGGGGGGCACTATGGGACATATGCACGCACACACACACACACTCACAAAAGGTACACACGGTTCAATTAGCTTCGCCATTGTGCCTCTGTGGTAGACATTCAGTGGATGTGCCCTTTTCCTAAGAATAACATGCAAGTCACTGGAATGTATGCACTCAAAATAGCAGGGCAGCTTATGACATTTGAACCTCCCAAACACACACAGACACACACGCTTGCCAGCAGATGAAGCGCTGTAGGACAAGGACATAAAGGGGGATTACCCTGAATTACAACAGAAAACGGGACAGCGTGATGATAATAAAAAAATATCACCTCACCTTCCATCATGGTTGCAGATTTGCATTCCTCTATCTCCAAGGAGCCTGAAATGAAAGCAGGAGGCGTGGGGAGGGGGAGAGAAGAAGAAGCCCCCGGTTACCACAGAGATACAGTAGAATTGATGGGCAGCAGAGCAGCCGTGTGCATGTGGCTAACGCCCTGGCTAACTGTGAGCCTCCAACACCCCCAGACGTCGCCTGTCAACTAGCCCAGGAGGTAGAGAGGGAGAGAGAGAGATACAGAGAGAGATGGGTTTTCTGCCTGATGGGGTCAGACAAAATAGAGCAATTTGTAATACATCAAGTTGGCGCTCTGGGGGCAATCTAGGTGACAGTTTTTAACAGTTGACCACTGTGTTCAGATTGGAGTGGGAACATCATCATCTGGAATACAGCTCAGCCTTCCAAACATACAGGAGACAAACTATTGGGTGAAATTTAAAAGGGGTGCCGCAGTCTGCTCAGTTGTTGAGTGCGCACCCCGTGATACTGGGGAGCTGAGTCCGTGCTGCAGCGGACCAGGGGTTCGATCCGACCTGCTCTCTTGCCCCCTTTTCTGTACTATCAATAAAAGAAGCAATAACAAGGCCCCAAAAAATATATATTAAAAAATATCCTTATCTACCCTACCTGTTCCAAGTTCTGAGGGGAGCAGGATATGACACTATTCAGCACTACAGGAGCACCGGCACTGACGAGCATGAAAGCCCAGTGGCACCCAATGATCATGCAGTGAGAGAAGGGTGAACTTTTCTCCGTACTATCACTCATCAGGTTCACTCAAAGTTAGTAGTCAAACATGGCACACCATTAGCAGTAATATATGTTCATTTCATGGTTTTGTCACCCTTTCACTGTTACGCTTGGAATTTTGTCCTTTGTCAACTAAAAGCACTGCTTACATGCACCCTCGTCACTTAACTCGTCGATAAGCTCCCCTAAGATTCCAGTATTCAAACAGAGGCAGACGTTTTACAGATATGAGTGCTTTCTCAGTTAAGTCACGTTCTATGCTGGGACTTTCCCTGGGCTCATTGTTGGCAACCGGTCACGATTCAGTCCAAGGCCTTTGGTTGACAGTTTCCCTGACGCGCTGTAGCAAATCTCATTACAAACCTCCACCCTGGCTCCTGTCTCCTCCCTACCCCCAAAAAAGTTGCCTCGATGGAGGGATGATGATTAGGCAGCAGTCCATTAAATGTACACAGACAAACAGCACCCACCGGACTAGGCAGCAGTGAGTGCAGTACAACCCAAAACAACTCACTCTCACTATCAGCGGTAGGGGAAGGCATTGCATGAGCGATAAGCGTGAGGTGATGGCAGGGTGCCATGTCGAGTGCCTACGTTGCCATCCAGCCACTACATGATGCTCTTGTCTGTTGGGTACTGCCGACGTAGAATACTGTTCCTTCTGTCACTTTCCCACTCTGCTGCCCTTGCCCAGGGGGGCCACGGCACACAGCAATCACACAAACCATAACACACTAATCAAGCAGAAGGTTTTCCGTGTTAATTGGCACCCGCACTTCTAAATTACTTAATGATGCTGAGGAGGCTCGATGCCAGCTCAAAGGTGGATTTAGCTTGTTTTAGTTGATGCGGCTGGGGGGATTATTGATTTATAGCTCTATATTTATTAGCAAAGTTAGCTTGGACTCTGGTTGGCTGGGACAAGTAGTACTTGAACATTGTTATTTTTGGGTGCCAGGTCAGACGAATCAAGTCAGTCAGTAGTCAGTTATGAGCTGGGTTGGTAGCTTAAGTGTTTAGTGGGGAGCCATAGTTAGTCAAATTGTAAGATATTAGTTAGACTTTGCACCAGGCCATCCACAACAGCACATTTAAAAAAAGGTCAGTTCAAGTAGCAAATGAAAAATCAACTTGAGGAAAACTTGAAAAATATAGTTTGTAGGGACTAATTTCCACTGCCTCCTTTCCCTGTATAGCCAGATT